ATGAAACACACTTTAATTATTTATTTATTCAAATGGCTGCCCCCGTCCTATGCCTTCCTAAGCCGAAAAGCCTTTTACAAAGTAAAAGGAAAAACCAAGGCAAAGCAAAGGGGAAAAGCCAGAGGAAACGGGGAGAGGAGAGAAATTCAGCGGCAAAAAGGGGAAAAGCCAAAAGCAAAAGAACAGAGAGGCAACAGCCCAGCATTTTTCCCAACTTTTCCGCCAGCGTTTCCTCCACACAAGAAATTGAAAGTGGCACGCGCAAATTACTTAATCCGACTTTCCAAGTACTTATGCCACACAGACACACGTCCGAGTACAGTGTGTCCTGCTTACAAAGGACTAACTGGGCTTTGTTCAATTTACTGTCTTGACAGTGTATTATTTAATCAGAAGCTGGTAAAGCATGGAGGGAGTCATTTCAGACCCTATAAACTATATATATTCTTGATCAGCATCAACAGGGGAATCTTTCTGGGCATTTAATAAAGAAACAACATTTTTGTAAATTTTTTCGAAATTTTATAAGGGGTTACATCGTTAAAATTGATAAAAACTTGAATTTTTTGACATTTTAAATTGAGTATGCAGATTTATTAATCTTAAAAAAACTAATATAGGACCACTTTCCGAATAAAAATTAATGCATTTTTGGCCAAGTTATGAGTTTTAAACTTTGACTTTTTCCCAAAAATTGTCATATAAAAGATACATAAATATCTGTTAAAAAATGGTATTCTAATTTTAGTCAAAAGCTTACAATACAGTGAAGGAATCATTTCCGACCCAACAAATCATATATATTCTTGATCAGCATAAACAGCCGAATCTTCTTAGGCATGTAAAAAAGAATTTTAATTTTTGTGATTTTTTTTGAAATTTTATAAGGGGTTACATCATTAAAATTGTCAAAAATTGATAAAAATTTGAATTTTTTACCATTTTAAATTGAGATTTGCAGATTTGTTAACCTAATAAAATTTAGCATAGGGCAACTTTCCGAATTAAATTTAATGCATTTTTGGCAGAGTTGTGAGATTTTTAAATTTTGATTTTGTCCCCAAAATTGTCATATAAAAATCTCGATAATATTATTAGTAAGCAACTTCATCACAACAAACCCTTTGGAACTATAATATATTTTGGTATATTTGAATGATCAATTCAAGATAATTTTGGTATCTACAAGACACTTTATAGATCTTAAAAGATAGATTCACTTTTTAGAATCTTCACTGTCTCTATTTACACTGTACTGTACGGGGCAACGGTGAATGCCTACACGTAGTCTTTGGGTCCTTTGATCTAATTTACCAAGCATTTTCAGGTATTCCAACTTTGAATGCCAAAAACGAAACCCAAGATGACAACAACAACGAGAGCTCGCCTCTCAGCTATTTGGGCACAAGACATAAAAATAAAATAAAATATAATAAAGAGAAAAAAAATTTAGGAAGAGGGGCAAAAAAACCTTAAACGAGAGCGCAAATGAAAATGAAAACTGAAAATGAAAATAAAAATGTTAAATGAAAATGGTCGTCAAACTGGGCGTCAAGCTAGAGCATCGCAAATCCTTCGCTTCACCCCGCGGCCTCTTTCCATACATGTCTTGAGCGAGTCCTGGCAGTTAATCAATGAATAGCCGCACCCAACCTGGAGATGGAGATGGAGATGAAGACCCAGGGAGCCACCCCTCGCAATTACATCAAAAGGAAACCGTTGGCAGCAGCCCAAGTAATATTTCAAGGGGCCAAGAAGAGACAGACGCTCTAAAATTAACTAAATAGCAGCAAGGAACCCACCACCCACCACCCTCTGCCCGGGGACCGCATTCCGCAGGACATGAAATGTCACTTTTTTTTGGGGGGGATGCCTGCCAGGTGCCAAAGTCCAAAACGCTCGCTTTTCTCTCCAGCTTTTCGTATTTTTTATTTCGAGCGAATTGCATTTTATTGCCGGGACAACGGCACAGAATAAAAGCATAGAACTAGAGAGGGCAAAGAAACCTGTCTGAATAGAACCGCAACAAGGACAAGGACGAGAACGAGGACAAGGATATTGTCCCCCTCTCAGCCTCCACCTCAGCTGCGGCACAAAAAAAAAAACGTAAAATGTTGACCATTTAACTAAATTGTTTCATTTAGCGATGAAACAAAGTGGAACTGGCAGCTGCGGCGGTTAGATAAATGACTTCTCAGGGATAATGCAGATTAATGGTGTCGGTTGATGGGGATTTGGTTCATCAAAATGTCTGTATCGAAATGTATATATAGCAATTTGAAACAAATGTTTGACTTGAAAAATTCAAGATTCTTTGGGGTGAGAGTACAAAAAAATATATAATATAAATAAATCGAAATTTGTAGGGTATATTTGCAATGAATTAACTATTAACTTAGAGATTTATCAAGGAAATTACAAACTAGAAAATATGAAAACACATTTCAAATATAAAATACCATAGAAAGTGTCACCAGACATATAATAAAATATCTCAGCTTAATTTGCATCAACATAAACTAGCAAAAAACTTAATTAAAAACTATTATAAAGTTAGTTAGTACTAAAAAGCCTTTCAAAATGCTCTGTTATTCTTGGTGTTGAGTGACTTTGAATATGGTTTTTCAATATTCGAAGCACTTTGCCATCGATATTAATAGTGCCAAAGTGCAGCATTTACCAACCTATCCTTTTTTGTGAATTGTGGCCAGAATGCGGATTAGGCCAAGGCCCAAAAACGAAGTAGACAAACTTTTAATTAGCCCACAGAGTCCTGCATGTGTGCGTGTGTTGGTAACTTTTTAAGGAGCTTCCCTGCAGGAAAATTGCATCTGCTGGAGACGGAAGCTGGTGCCAGGTGGCAGGTGGCAGGTGGCAGGTGATGATGTCTCCATAAGCTCTGCTCTGCTGTTCAATGATTGGAAGGTCGACAGAGCGGAAGCCAATCCTCGCCGGTCGTGTTTGGGTCCAGCTGCTCCGGCTTAGCCGCAAAAACTGGACTCCAACTGGGGATTGGAATTAGGAAGGAGGCGGGAGGAGTGGCAAAATTGAGTTGAAAATTGTTCATGGCACACACACACACAGAGTCAGTCATGGCACTTCACAGGCAACGCAAATTGACAGCTGTCAATCAACTGGACGCCAGGAGCCCATCCTTGATGGGAGCCTCCATTTTTGCCTGTCCAGCCTTGTCCTGGCGGACATTGCTTTGCCGATGACGATGGTGATTCCTGCTGCCATCTGCTGTTTCTGCACTTGAAATTGATTAAGCTCTGGCGTTGTTTTCCCTTACAAGTTGGTCCGGTCCTTAAATTATGAGCAAAAACGACTCATCGGTCTTTAATCGAACCAACACTGTGATGCCAAAATGCATATTGATTTGAAAGCCGAATATGATATCCTTTGAGTTCAAATGTCAAACATAATCAGAGAGAGAGAGAGAGAGAGAGAGAGAGAGAGAGGGAGAGACTGCAATTGCACATTGCAGAAATTGCATACAAATGGCAGGCATAATTGCCATTCTCCAGGACACCGGATACCTGTACACCTGTGCGGCATCCAATGTCCAAGATGGCCATGAAGAAAATTGCTCTGCTTGTTTCCATTCGACATTTTCATTGCCATTTTCATTCCCATTCAATATTCGCACTGCAAATTGTGGACTGTGTGTCCTTTGGGGGAACTTTGGCACACACACACACTTTGGACAAGTATTTTCCACTCGAGAAACTCGGAAGGCAACTTTTATGAAGCTGCCACAACAACTTCCGGTACCCAGACACACACACACAACCGTCTGGCAGTTATTAAGTTTATGGCCCTAAACTTGCGGCCAAATAAGTTGATGCCCCATTTTGATTGCCTCGACGCAGCCCCAGCATTAATTCATCTACAATTCCCCCATCTGGCTCAAGTGCAACAGGACTCAAGTACACTTTGAGAAAAATATAGGGAAGAATTTAATATGTTAAAGTATAAATTGTGATTAGCAAGTTGTTGGAGTATATTTACAAAACTCCTTGGAGACCTGAACTCCCCAAAAGACCTGGAAAACTCTGCCTAATAGTTTTCTATACAAATAAATGCTCGAAAAATATATACATTTACTAAACTAAACCCATTTTCCCGCAGTGTATTCCTATTCCATTGGCAAACATTCGTTGGCCAGGCCAAAAAAAGAGGAAAAAAAATTAAATTGAATTATTTGTGCATTATTAACAAGCCAAAAACGACAACAAGCTTTCATATTCTCAGTTGTAACTTATAAGTATCGAATTATATACGAGGATGGAGGGGACTTCCAAGAAATCTTGTATTGAAACTCTAGCTGACGAGAATGTTTGCTGCGGTATTAAATTGTATTTATTTATTTATATATATATATTATTTTTTGTTTTGCTCTTGGCAACGAATGTAATGGAAAAATGTACTCAAAAAAGGGGGGTCAAGTATGAGCTTTAAAGAGACTTTAAATCGATTTTAGATTGATAATTTTATTGTTAAGATATTATTAGTTTACATCAGGGGAAAATATTGAATGGATATTACAGATAAATCGATACAAATCAAGGGGATTAGCAAAAGAATAGAATAGTAATAGAAAACATATATCAAAATGCACAATTGCTTAAATTTTGTGTTATTATATTTATTTAAGCTACTTATTATAATTTTTCTTGGCATGCTTACATTACTAATTTGTTTTTACTTTTTGTTGACTTACTATATATATAATATATATATATACGATTTAAACCAGATATTGACTAGTTGATGAATTGATAATCTAGTATGTATAGACCCCCGCCCCTTAGTAGTTTGAGCCCAAAGCCATTAGTAAGTCCCCCTTTTCCCCCAATTTCTGTGAGATTCTTCACCGGAGACCATTATGTGAAATCCCCATCCGATATATTTTTATAAAACCACAAAAAAACAAAAACTATTTTCTTCGTTTTTTTCCAGTGTATCTCTGTGTCTCTGTGTGTGTGTAGCAAAACCAAATCAATCAATCAGTTACCCCACCCAAGTTAACCCCAAAAAAATAAACGAAACCCCGCATTAAACCTGCCCCGCCCTGCCAACAAAATCAAATAAATTATATATATATATAAATGTATAGATAAATACAAAATAGAAATGATAAGAGCGTAGGGCGAGCGCACAGGACAGGCAGACGAGGGAGCCACAGGAGCCGCTGGAGCGGCGGCCAAAGGATACCGCTCACCTCAAGGATCGGCGGGCGCTGCCACAGAAGCCAGAAGAACATGCGCCATGTCAAAACTGCGGCATTACAGGTCCATGGATCAGCCCAGCAGCACCTGCGTGGTCATACGCAAAAAGTTAGCAAGCCCATCCACCACTTACCAAATAACCTCAATAACCGCATACCGCATATACACAACGAAAGCCTTTCACCTTTCACCCACAGCCAGCGAATGCCCTAACCACTGACACAACACTTTCTACACTCTCCACAAAAGCTTCTGCCTTGCAACTTAGCTATTTTCTAAAAACACATGTAGTTTATTGAGAGGAGTATTCCAATATCTTAATGAAAATATTCGAAACTTTAATATAACGTATTCTTAAATATCGAAAATGATCGTATTCAACTTTAAAATATCGACTCTTTAAACTTAAACTTGTATATCAAGAGGATCCAATATCATTTTGAAAATATTGTAAACTTTGATATATCCTATTGTAAATATCGAAACGTTAGTTGTTTATCAAGAGGATAATCGATAATATCGTAAACATTGATATGAACAATATCAGAATATTTCGAATAAACTTTTTAGATATATCAAGAATAATATCAATTTATCTAACATTTCCAATGTTAAAGAATAAATTGATTGATTTCAGCTTAAAATATAACTACAGTATCTATATATATCCACAGCTCTTAACATTTTTCGAACCTTTCTTTATACAAATTAAATATTAAAAACAATTCTAATCAAAAAACAAATTGAAGTCATAGAAAAATTAGACCCAAAGTTACACAGTTATCCTGTGTAATTTTACACTTTGCACCCAGGACACTCTACACTAAGCTTTTATATCCTGAAAGCTTGCCACCACTGCATGACTGCTGCTTTTCCTCTGTGAAAAACTTTGAGCCTCTTGGACTTTCTTTTGCATGGAAAACGCTGTTGGCTCGGAAAAGCTTGAACAAGCTTTCCAGCCAAACGGAAACCAAAAATAACTCCTGCCATTCAGCCTTTCTTCGCTGCATGACTCTGTTCTATCATCTCCCAGTTTTTTCCCACAGCCATGTTTCTGCTTTTCCATTTTCTATTTTTCAATTTTCACTTCTGCATGAGAAATCGAAAGATACTGTAAATATTGGAAATTTTATTTGGAATTCTACTAACCAAAACCTTGTATCGTTACAGGACTATGACAGCCATTTGCTTCGTGTGCAACCTGCCCATCATGTCGCACCAGGTGGGCTTGGTGTGGCAGGGCGGCAACGGCTGGGACGATCTTGTGCGCGAACAGGTGGGTTTTCAACCACAAATATAAAATATATTGAATAGTTACAAAAAAGTGAATGAAAAACATTAAGAAAATACTATAGAAAACTGTAATAAATAGTGCAAACATATATATGATAAAGTGTTTAGGCCTTGGAGAACATGTTGCAGTATTGTCCTTGCAGAGTGTTAGCCTTGAAATCAGTTAAACATTTAATCTGAAAGCTTATATTTGTGACCAATAAATTATTTAATTTCTTTAGAAATATATAAAGAACAAAATTACAGCGATAAAAGCTTCTATAATAAACTATGAATTTTAATTCCCTCAAAGATTTGAATTAAAAAAAGTTTCAAAAACTCATAACTCAGCCAAAAAAGCATTAATTTTAATTCGGAAAGCTGTCCTTTGATTGTTTTCTTAAGTTTAACAAATCTGCGTACTCAATTTAAAATGTATAAAAAAGAAATTTTTTAATTTTTTCTGACAATTTTGATGATGTAACCCCTTATAAAATTTTCAAATTTTTGAAAAAATTAAATTTTTGCGGGACATAGCTAGATCGATTCGTCTGTTAATGCTGATCAAGAATATATATAGTTTATAGGGTCGAAAATGACTCCTTCACGGTTTTTTAAGCTTATGACTAAAATTAGAATACCATTTTTTAAACGATATTTTATATTTTTTATATGAAAATTTTTGGGAAAAATCATAGCTTAAAAAAATATTTGGCTAAGTTATCCAAATATGCATTAAGTTTACTTCGGATAGGTATCCTATGTTAGTTTTTTTAAGGTTAATAAATTTGCATACTCAATTTAAAATGTTAAAAAATTCACATTTTTTCGACAACTTTAACGATGTAACGCCTTATAAAATTTTAAAAAAATTACATTTTTGCCGACTATGCCTAGAAAGATTCCCCTGTTAATGCTGTTCAAGAATATATATAGTTTATAGGTCATAGCGTAATAACTCTCTGCAAGGGTATAAAAAGCTCAACGAATTTTTTTAAATAAAAACAAAAAATGAGGAAAACTGAGAGTTAAACTGTAAAATTAATAATTTAAGATTCTATAAAAATATCATAAAATAAGCAACACCTCTCCGATTGCAGCTGGAAGAGTCCACCATTCGTCAGCGACTAGGCGGGAGGCGCGACTCTGCGGCACAGATCACAACGCCACCGAGCACCTCGCCGCCGCCGGGACTCCAGCGTCGGCGTCGCAGCTCCCTGGCCCAGCTGACGGACATCCTGCGCGAGTGGAGCGGCGGCGGTGCCAGCAAGCAGCAGCAGCAGCATCATCACCAGCAGACGCAGCAGCAGCAGACCCAGTCCCAGTCCCGCTCCAAGGCGCAGCTCAATCGCCGCGAGACGCTGGCCGATCTGGCCCGAAGCCTGCCCTGGCGCACCTCAACCACTACGGATGCCAGCACTGGAGCTGGAGGCACTGTTACCACCTACATGGCACCGCGCAAGCGACGCGAATCCAGTGCAGACTCTGGAATCCGGAGCATGCGTTCGCGACGCGAATCCAATACGGCAGAGTTTGTGCGTCACTGGAACCGACGCGAGAGTGGAGCAGTTGAGGATCAGCCAGGATCGAGCAACTGTGGCGTTGCCGTGCCCGTGGTCATCGAGTGCAGCAAGAGCGTAAGTATCTGGGGGGGGGAACCTAAACCATCACCCCGAGAGCCAGCCAGCCAGTCAACCCCTTCTCTCTATATGTCTTCCTGCAAACCTCATTCGACCTGCCTGCCTGAATGCCTGCCTCACCTCTTCCGACCTCCATGATCCATAATCAGGCCTCCCGTCGCGGATCCGGTGAGAGCTACCTGTCCGGCAGTCGGCGCGATAGCAATGTGGCCGGACGGGTGACAACACCACCGCCGCCGGGCAAGTATCAGGTCACCAAGAAGCGCGACTCCCTGGCCGCCCCGGAGTTCCCCAACTTCCGGCAGGAGCAGCGGCCCAGCACCAGCTCCGCGGGCTCCTGCTCGGATCACTCCCAGCCCCTGATATCGCAGCATTCGAGCACTCATCACCTGGCCCACCACCAGCAGGTGGATACCGCCTGTCAGGCCCTGCCGCCGCCGACGATCATCACCAGCTCTGTGACACCGCCGGCCACTAGTCCCACGGCACCCAAGGGTCGTCGTGACTCCCAGACGCAGTGCGGCCGGGTCAATCGACGTGACTCCAAGGCCGGTGTCAGTCCGGAGCGAGCGCCGCGTCTTCAGCGGCTCCAGCGACAGGCCACCGCCTTCGACGAGGGTTGCCTCCCCGGTGGAGGCGGCGGCAGTCGTCGTGGCTCTCAGCCAGCTCTAAGTCCGGATCCACCGGACCAGGACTGTGAGCGGAGGACATCGCGGCGGGATTCTCTATCGCCGGACAGTGCGTCGCGCGGCGGTCGCAGGGACTCGAGGACACACTTGTCCCCGGACAGATCACACGAGCGGGATGGCAGTCCGAGGAGGCACACGCTTCGCAGGCAAAGCAGCTCGGCGGCGGCCAGGTCGTCCAGGTCACCGGACTCCAATAGCTGCTGCTCCTCGCGGGATCCCAGTCCCTGCTCGCGACCCGGACCGCAGGTTTCCGCCGTTTCCGAGCAGAACCAGCGGCCGGCCATTAGGCGTCAGTCCACCACCGAGGAGATCCTGATAGCGCGCGGCTTCCGGCGGCAATCGACCACCGAAGAGATGATACGTTGCCGGAACTTCCGGCGTCAGAGCTCCCAAAGCGACGATGTGTGTCGGTCAGTATTATTATTGGGAATATATTATTCTGATAACCAAGTACTGATTACAATTTGATAATAATCCCTGATCCTTGACCCCAGTTATCGTGGCAGACGCGACTCCTCGGCCCAGATCATAGATGGCACCATTGGCACCATGACCGTGGAAACCACCAGCACTTTTTTCGACTCCAGCACACAGACAGGTGAGTTAGAGAAAGGATTAAAGTCCTTTGACTAGATTAAGTACCAAATGGCGGACAAAAAAGGCTCAAAAGTCCTTGGTAAAAATAATTAACAAGAAAAACTTTTAAAGCATATCAAGAATAATATTAGTTATACATAGTTGAAGTATATAGTTCTCTCAACTTTAAAAATCTACAAATTCGAATCAAACTAATAGATTTAATTTACTAAAATACAAAAAGGACTCTTTCTGTACTTCCCCCATTTGAAAATATTCGAGTCCTGCCAACCTGATTTGCAAAGCTTTCTCCTGTAAGCTTTGCCTAGCATAGCTTTGCGCTTTTCCGCTTTTCCTAGCTTTTCCGCATTACCCCCCGTCCTGTTGCAGCCCCAAAAGCTGCTACCAGCTGATTGTTAATGAAAACAGCTGTGCGCTCTGCCAGGACTGTCCACTCAAAGTCCTGTCCACTCCACAAACTCGACTCGAGGCAGCGCCATCAGTCGGTGTTGCAGACGCAGACGTGCCACAAGCGCCGCAGGACGCAGGACACCAACGGAAAACAAAGAAATAAGAAAAAAAATCAAAGAAAAAACCGGCGGAAAAACTAAAAGGACATACAGACATACAAAATCAAATAGTAAAAGAATCGAGGAACTCTGTAAAGTACACGCAGAAAAATCGGAGAGAGAGATAGCGATGCCAGGACAAGCTGGCGCTTTTTTCTCCCAGTGCGCATAAGTTGCTGCGACCGTGTGTGTGTGTGTGTGTGCGTACGTGTCCGCGTCGGTGTGTGTATATTTTTCCTGAATCCGAAACCTTCGTCCTGTTTTTGTATATTTTTTTGTTGTTGATTTTTTTTGTATGTAGTTTGTTTGCATTTTTGTGAGTGAGTTTCGACTTAAAGTTGCAACTAAGCTGAGCGAGCAAGCAGCCTCCAAAGCATTATCCTTGCCACAACAACAAAGACAACAACAACAACAACAACAACAACAGTAACAACAACTACAACAACAACCACAACAACAAGAACAAGGAGAGGCAGCAACGTGGCCGAATACGTTGACGTTGGCAGCGACGGCGGCGTTGCTGCCCCGCCGCTGCGCAGCGGTCGCCGCCAGCCATCGAGCAGCAGCGCCAGCAGCAGCAGCAACCGCAGCAATCGCAGTCGCAGCGGTCCGTATAAATCTCACAAATATCTATATATCTGAATATATATCAATAACTGAACAATATTTCAAAGAAAATGCCAAAGTTCTTAAAGAGATTGTCTTACTTGTTGCATGTGTAAATAAGAAGTCCGACAGACTAGTCAGAGATTTCCTAATAGTTGATAATAATATAAACAGTGTCAAAAAGCCATAATCAGGGAACTATATACGATTTAGGGAATACTTTATGTGGTTAAATATTATTTACTATTTATTTTAGTCACTTAATTCTTAAAGATATACTTTAAAGCAACATTTATAAATATAAAGCTGATATTTCATGGAGTGTCAGAACGGCATATCATATTAATAATAATTTTAGTCCATAAAGTTTAGAATAGAATATATAGTATAGTATAAATATAATATATATTATACTTTCTAACTTTCTGGGCTAAAATTGTATTTAATATTAATTTTAAACAATTTATTCTGCCAGCATTACCAAAAAATGTTTATAAATTATCTAAAGCAGTGTCATAACCCTATATTATTTTAAATTTGATTTTGTATATACTTTACAGGCTTTAATAATATTTAATATTCGGATTTGAATCAATATTTATTCACTTTACCACAAATATTATAACTTGGAGTATTTTAAAAAGTTTTAAAGTTTAAATGGGGTTTATGTAGTGTCAGAAGACCAAAAAGAATATTAGCATTACAAAAGTCTTAGACCCAGCCTGTATTTCTATGAGCTATAGAAATTAGAGCCTATGAAATGTCCTGGCAAATACTACCAAGGACCTTCTGGAGACTCCCCCATCAAAAATATATATGTGCCGAAAGCCACAAGTCCTGGCCTCGGGAAGATGGGGAGCGGGGTCTTTTAATGAATGAAAGTGGAAAGTGCAATGTCTGCCCAGCTGTCCGAATGTGTGTGTGTGTGTTGGGAGTATCTTTGTATCCGTGAGATACTCTCTCGCTCTATCTCTGGCTTATGAATGAAATGCGAAAGGCGAATCGAGTGGGCTAAGTCGCAGTTAGGGCCTCTCCCGTTTCGCCCATTATTCTTTAGCCGTATAGTATCCATTTTGCCCCGTTTTCCATTTTCCATTTTCCATTTGCCATTTGCCATTTTCCCCTCCAGCCTGCTGCAAGTGCAACAAGTTGAGACTTCGCGAACAACTTGGGCGCATTGAAATGCAAAATTTATTGATTCAGACCATCGAGGTCAGAGTGCACGTGGGACCCCAAAGCTTAGCTCTTGAATTTTTAATATATATATATATCTTCTGGGGGACGGGACAAGGATCCTCATAATTAAGCTCCAAAGTTGTCTCCTTTCGAGTCTTAATTAACCGAAAGATCAAACAGAGTCACAGATCTCGGGACTAAGAAAGAAATGAACAATTTGCATGCGAATTTTAATCAGTTTATTAAGAACCCTTGAGCGGTTCAAGTGGCTCTCCCTCTTCCTCTTTCTCGACCTCCTCCTGTAAGGACATGCCACATGGCCCTTCAATTAAGCGCAATCGGCGCAGTGCTGAAAAGGATTTACGCCAAGTGGCTGTCGCTGTCACTGCCGCTGAATGTCCTGCCAGGACTCGACTCATTAATTAATACTGAGTGTGAGCTGCGAAAAGAAAGAAGCTCTCCTCCAGCTCTTGATTTGATTCAAGCAATTAGTCTGCGAGTCTCTTCCGTCTCTTTCGTCTTTAAAGAGTCAATCAAGTGGAAGGATAATCGGCAGGACATCAACCAACATTCGTTGAAATATATATTTATTGAGTAATATTACCCATCTAGAATTCACCAAAATAGGGTTAAATATTTGCCTTTTGCCAGCCAATCCATTAATTGGAGTTCATCAAAGGACACGATACAGCGCACAGCGCACAGGATTATCAACAGCAATTGTGGGGACTGTAGTCCAATTAGTATCTCAACTGCCCATCGATTACATTAATTTTTATAATTGCCTTTTTACGATGCACACGCACACACACACAGTCACATACACATACACAGCCAGAGCAAAAAAGAAAGGAAAATAACTTCGAGAAGCCAAAGATTATATACCCTTTCAATTTGAAAGTGAATTATAAGTTTAGAACGAAAATCGTGCATTAATGAGCTTTAAATATTCACATTCTTTGAATTAATATTTATTATTATTCGATGACAATTTTTGGACAAAATCAAAGTTTTAAGAACCCATAACTAAGCCAAAAATGTATTAATTTCGATTCGGAAAACTGTTCTATGCTAGTTTTTAATAGGTTAATAAATCTGCATACTCAATATAAAATGTAGAAAAATGTAAATTTTTGTAAATTTTTTCATAATTTTAACGATGTAACCACTTATAAAATTGTCAATTCTTTGAAAAAATTAAATTTTTGTCTGGCATAGCTAGAAATATTCCCCTGATTATGCTGATCAAGAATATATATGGTTTATAGGGTCGGAAATTACTCCTTCATAACATTTTAAGCTTCAGACTAAAATTAGAATACCATTTTTTAACTGAAATGCATATATTTTTTATATACACATTTTTCCAGAAATTGAAGTTTTGAAAATCTCACAACTCAGTCAAAAAAGCATTAATTTTAATTCGGAAAACTGTCCCATGTTCGTTTTTTTATGGTTAATAAATCTGCATACTTGGTTTAAAATGGTAAAAAATTCGATTTTTTATCAATTTTTGACAATTTTAACGATGTAACCCCTTAGAAAATTTTGAAAAAACTATCAAAATTTAGTTTCTCTCCTTTATGTCTAGAAAGATTCGCCTGTTGATGCTGATCAAGAATGTATATAGTTTATAGAGTCGAAAGTGACTCCTTCACGATATCATAAGCTTCTGACTGAAATAAGAATACCATTTCAACCGATATTTATCTATATTTTTATATAACAATTTTTAAGACATATCAAAGTTTAAAAATCTCACAACTCAACCAAAAAAGTATTCATTTCAATTTGGAAAGCAGCCCTATGTTAGTTTTTTTAAGGTTAATAAATCTGCAAACTCAATAGAAAAAGATAACATTTAAAAAAATTTTATTATGTTTTAAAAATTTTATTATTTTACCCCTTATAAAATTTTCATAATTTTGAAAAAATTAAATTTTTGCCAGACATAGCTAGATCGACTATCCTATTGATGCTGATCAAAAATGTATATAATTTATGGGGTTGGAAATAACTCCTTAACTGCGTTTAAAGCTTTTGAATAAAATTATAGTATCCTTGCAAGAGTATAGAAAAAAAAAACGAAATTAATGTTAATTTACGGCCAAACAAAGCCCAAACAAAAAAAACACACGAAGCGAGGGGACACTTTTATTACCAAATTTGGATCGATTGAAGGCTTCGGGTCAGGTAATAATCCTTGAAAAAGTATGGCTTAATTGCAACTTTTATTATTGTTATAATAAAAAAAAATTATAACAAAAAAGGCAATATTATTTTAAACATATTTTTTATTTTAGTTTAATTATAATAGATGCCACAAGGCAGTATCACAGCTCAATGATCAGGAGATTAAGCTAAAGAATATTAGATTGAGTAAAAACTTTTACATTATTTGTTGATTTTACTATATTTATTTCATAATTTTTTTTTTTTGTAATATATCCTTTCACTTGCTTAAAAAACAATCTATTTAGCTGCCCTTCAGGGATCTCACCTCTCGTCAAGGTCAAGCTTTGGCTCCAGGTCTAGCTTTAGCTCCTTACCCACCCTTATTTTCAGTTATTTATATATATATATATATCATGTTTTCATGAACGCATCAATAATGGCACAGACACAGAAATTGTTTTTGGCGCCTAATTGATTGCCCGGCTACCAAAGATTG